TGGCGCCGGTGGGGTGCCAGCTAAGAACCCTCCGACGATCAAGTTAGTACTTGTAATCGTATCACATAATAACTATATATCTTTTGTTTAGGAATTTTTTCTCATACCTTCTTTAACGGCTTAGTGCCCTATTTATGGCTGTCGATTGGAATCCAATTGGTTCCGCCGATGTCGATGGTTGATCTTATCTTTCGCTTGTGCGAGATCATAGGAGATTTCTTGCCAGATTTGTCGGGGATATGAATAATCCTTTTGACCTCCTCCAATTATGATATGATTATTCTTACCATGTTGAACCACATCAGATTTCATTATCCTTGATAATTAAATATAATCAATCTTATCGAGGGTAGGGTAGGTTTATATTTTTCTCTATCACACCCAACTTGGAGAAAAACTTTCTTACACCTTTAATACTTCGTTGCTGTGCCATCAACTAATTGTATCATGTCATTTAGGTAAAAATATTTTATTTTAGTGAGTCCTATCACTACATGACAATATTTAATAAGTTGGTGATACCATATCCTCGCTACAACTTGCTCAATTTAGTTTTTCTCCCAACAGAACATAATAATATATAGAGTTAGCAATTTTCCAGCCAAGTCAATGAAGTGGTAAAGGTTGTCATACACTTGTCACAATATCTCATTTTACTTTGGCCCATGAATTTCAATATCAAACCAAGAAATCATAATTAAGACGCCAATGGAGACTTAAAATCTATATTCCGTGTAACAATGGAGACTTAAAATGGAATTATGTAAGCGTTTTGCCCGGGTCACAAGCAAAGACTTTTGGCAAAGCAGTCATGTCTAACTTATATGGGTAGACTTTGCAGTTGTGAAAACCTTGGTGCAATTGGAAAGATCGTAGCCAATGAATGAGATGAATCTTATTGGAAGTCAAAATTAACACGTTCGACTTTATTATTTACTTTATTTTATTTATTTAAATACGCGTAATCATCCGCAAATCACGTGCATTGTTCAAGTTCAGATATTTTGCACTCTGTTAGAGTTGAAATTAACACATTAGAGTTTACAATTTGTCCCAAAAGATCACTTATCTATTGAGACACTCGCGCGGGCTGTGGTGGTGTTTAATTCTCTAGCCTAAGCAAATGAGAATTCAAATACACACTAAAATAATAGCATGTCTCATACATCCCTTCACCCCCTCACCCCCCACCCTTAAAAAAATAAAAATACATCATTTTTAGAATGAACTTCATACACAAAATTGAAAATGGATACAAAAACACCATTGTGATTTTAATTACTGGCACCCAACAAATCCAATTGTTCAATGAAACCACCTACTTATAAATATTATAAATAATCAGGATAGAATCCTGGTAGGCACTAATAATTCTTTGAAGGGGTGTGGAAAAAATAATAATAATAAAATAAGTTTAAAATTTTATTATATTTAAGTACAATTTGAGGGCTCTAAATGAACATTTAAGTAGTTTATTATTCATTTTTCAACAAAATATAGATAAGTATTATTTTCTATGTTTTTTCTCCCCTCTTATTTTCCCTTTTACTGAACAATAGGTATTTGTTATAAAAACACCCTCGAATACTGAAAGAAAATTATTAGGAGCTCATATCCCGGAGTCGTGCCCTTATATTGAAAAAAAAAAAAAAAAAAAAAAAAAAAAAAAAAAAAAGTAATTGTTATGAAAAGATTAGTTAAGCTTGTGTGATAACAAAATTTGAACATTTTAATTGGTCATTTTGCATTAGTTAGTTATTGATGGGTGTAGGTGGAACTCAAATCCTCATACATGAAAGAGAGTATTTTTTAAAGCACTGTGCCTAATTTGAAATACGAGTACAAAAAGCCCCGTGAAACAGAGTCAAAACAGACTTTAAAGAGGAGAATAATTTAATGAAGTGTTCATTGGTTTTGGTGGGACAACACGCAAAAGACTTTATGTGGAATTATGGAAGCGTTTTGCCCATGTCACACGCAAAGACTTTCTGCAAAGAAGGCAAAGAGGTCACGTCTAATATATATAATCCAAAGCCCTGTGAAATAGAGTCAAAATAGAGTTTAAAGAGGGGAATAATAAGTGTTCGTTGGTTTTGGTGGGACAACACGCAAAAGACTTTATGTGGAATTATGGAAGCTTTTTGCCTGCGTCACACGCAAAGACTTTCTGCAAAGAGGGCAAAGAGGTCACGTCTAATATATATAATCCAAAGACTTTGCAATTGCAAAGTCTTCGGTGTAATAGGGAAAATAGCTAGTGAGTGATATGGATCCCATTGTGAGATATATCGTCCTATAACAATTACGTCCCTAGCACCCGATGGAGCCTATTTTGTTAAGAGAATTTGACAATTTTGTAGAAAGATTACTTCAGAAAATATCGATCACATTACGTGTAGAGAAAATTTGAAAAGAAAAAATTATGAGGAAACACTCTTACTGTGAAGCAATTGGACACCATAATGAAACACTAGTTTTATTAAGAGTCACCGAGATATTAGAAATTATTCCATAACCATTGGACCTTATTTGGGAAAAATTAGTAGGTAGTGCGGGACTATGTGGTCTTGGTCAATCACATAACATCAATTATTTGTACCCAACTTTACACAGTGGGGTATGACTCTAAATTTGTCACAAAACAAAACATAAGAAGTAGAATTAACCATCGCCATCCAAGTCAATGAAGTGATAGAAATTGTCACACACTTATATCATGATCTCATCTTACTTTGTTCTACGAAAGACTCCAATTAAGTAATGGCTGTTTGTTTAAAACTTAAACGGCACGTTGAAATGAAATAAATTTTCTTTGTGGAATTATAGAAGCAGGGTTGCCTAGATTATACGTAAAGACTTTCGACATAGCCATCATATCTAACAAAGACTTTGCAATTACAAAAATTCTGAAGTATTTAGAAAAATGGTAGCGATTAAGTTTTATAGAATTGTCAAACCACTGGTTTCTCAAAAAAAAATTGAATTGCAACTTGAGATGATGGTGGTGATGTAGGGTTTAAGTGGTGGGCTCAGTATCATTACTCATAAGCAAAAGATGCTGAACAACATCTCATTCTACTGTTTTAGGATAATGATTTCAGGCGTTTGGGATAAACTCCCAACCATTAATTATTTTATGAATTTTGAAATAATTGAGGAAACATGCGCTTCGAAGAAGAACACATGCCCCTAAAAACCAGTGCTTTGACATATTTTGTTGGGAATTGTATTGTGTTTTGACATTTTTCATGTCAAAAACCATCATCTCAAGTTGCAATTCAAGATGTTCAAGTATTTGTAATTATACTGTTGCAATTCAAAAAAAAATTAGGAGTGGAAGAGAAGTTAGAAAATATTGTGTAATTTATGTCATAAAAAAAGTGATTTATGTCATAAAAACAAAAAAAAAAAAAACGTGATATACAAATAGTGTAATTTATGTCATAAAAAAAAAGTGATATAAATATATTGTATAATTTATGTCATGAAAAAAAAAAATTTTGATACGGACAAGAATTATATAACCAAATTATTATTATTTTTTCATGTCAAAAACCATATTTCCCTTCTATTACTTTCCTAATTGACATTTCCATTTTCTTCCCCAACCATCTAAACAACTTATGGACCTATGGTTGGCAGTTGGCGCGCGCACACCCGCACACACAGATCGTTCTAGCCATGGCCCAATTAATATAAATGCCTAGTTATACAGCTCTCCTGGGTTGGGCTTTAGGATTTGACTACGAAATTCACTAGTACCAATAGGATTTTGCAAGAACTTTGAACAACTCTTTAACTTTAAAATAAAATATAAATGAAAAATAAATTATAATACCAATTTATTATATACCAAATTCCAGTGTCACCACTTCCAAAACCGAAGATAGCTAGCTAAATCAGACGACGTGGAATTTACTCAATTTTCTTATATCCTAAATTCCCAATTGCAAAATATTAAAGTAGTAAATCCTAAAATAAAATAAAAACCACAGTTTGGCTTCGGTTGAACTTCTTGGCTGTTGATATTAAATATGTTCATAAAATGACTAGAAAACAATAAGGCTGCTTAAAATATTGTTGTCTAGCTTACAGATTGATAACATCAAACAAAAGGCTTCATTTGTTTCGGTTAAAACATTATAAAAAAAATGCATTTTGTATTTTAAACTTTTTGATTGCTTGAACAAAGTTTTACATAAAAATTTTGAATAAAGAAAAATAAAAGTATATTGGAGAATTATATACATGTATAAATATTCACATTTTGTATTCTATTAAAGGCTTGAGTTAAGAGGGAAAAAAAACATTTGATTACAATTACTTTCGGCTTCCCATTCGGTACAGTGTAATCAAGTGAGTAATTTACTACGTCGCATATATTTTACATTTTATATTGTGGAATGTTGGAGAGAGTTTGAAATTTTGTATATTAGTGAGCTCGTAAAAACTGTTGTCGGTAGAAAATATTCAATAATAATAGAGAGTTTTATAGAATTGTAAACTATTTTTATGATTAAGTTTTATAGAATTGTAAATTATTTTCATAATTCTAAAAGATTATCTGCTATTGAAATTGAAAGCATTTAACTTCAAATAAAAAAAATTAAATAAATAAAAGAAGTTTAGTTATACGATTTTAGTAATTATAGTTTAATCTAAACCTTTAAATTTAAACCTGCATTTGAATTTCTCTATTACTCCTAAGTGATTACAAATATTCAAATGATTTGGGGTAATTGCAAGTATTCAAAATAATTAAACTTTTTCTAGAAGAACACGCAAAAGACTAAAAATCTGAATCCCATTAAAAACACCCTGGATTGCTGAAGAGAGTCAAAACAGGGGAATAATTTAATGAAGTGTTTGTTGGTTTTGGTGGGGAGAACACGCAAAAGACTTTATGAAAAGAGAGTCAAGACAGTATGTGGTTACTAGGAAACTTCCCTTGATAGTTCGCACCTGCCACCTGCTGCTATAAATACGTTGCACATCTTCCTTCAATTCCATTCTCATCCATCATCATCATCAATATATATTAAATCTTTTGATACAGTATTATAAGTTCAATATATATATATATATATATAGCCAGCATTAGTTACTAGCTGTTGCTTATATCCTTGCATGATTATGGCAAAATCCATTACAGATGTTAGCATTAATCTTGCAATTGTGTTTCTGATTACTTCAGTAGTACTAACTTTTGATACAATTGTGGTCTTTTGTAGTGGAAACAACAGCTCTCATCATGTGGTTTGCGTGGAGAATGAAAGACGAGCCCTTCTGAAATTCAAGCAAGATCTAAGTGATCCTTCAAATCGTCTCTTCTCATGGGTTGCTGATCAATCAGGAGGGGACTGTTGCGAATGGGTTGGAGTTGTCTGTAACAATTTAACAGGCAATGTCCAGGAGCTCCACCTTCGAAATCGTTTTAATGATATTGAAAACAGTTTGGGTGGTAAGCTAAACCCATCCTTACTTGATTTGAAGCATCTGACTCACTTGGATATTAGCGGCAACTATTTTCTTGGGATTCAGATTCCAAGCTTCATTGGTTCCTTGGGGAGGTTAAGATATCTTAATCTCTCCTACTCTGTATTTGAGGGAGTCATCCCAAGTCAACTAGGAAACCTCTCTGGGTTGCACTTCCTTGATCTTGATGGAGGTTTTGAAGGAGTGATTCCTCATCAACTGGGGAACCTCTCCAATTTGCACTATCTCAGACTTGGAGGTTGGTATGATGGCAATCTATATGCTAACACTCTTCAATGGATTTCTGGTAGTTCCTTGTTGCAGCACCTTCATCTGGAGAACGTGAACCTCAGCAAAGCACATGATTGGTTGCAGCAAATCAACATGCTCCCTTCTTTGGTAGAGTTACACTTGGTCTATTGTGGGATTCATCACTTTCCTCCTTTACATATTCTTAATTTTACTTCTCTTGCCGTCCTTGATCTTCGGGGAGATTTGGAAGGAGTGATTCCTCATCAACTGGGGAACCTCTCCAATTTGCACTATCTCAGACTTGGAGGCAATCTATATGCTCACACTCTTGAATGGATTTCTGGTAGTTCCTTGTTGCAGCACCTTTATCTGGAGAGCGTGAACCTCAGCAAAGCACATGATTGGTTGCAGCAAATCAACATGCTCCCTTCTTTGGTAGAGTTACACTTGGTCTATTGTGGGATTCATCACTTTCCTCCTTTACATATTCTTAATTTTACTTCTCTTGCCGTCCTTGATCTTTCTTTTAACCGTTTTGAATCAATTCCACCTTTTCGTCTGAGAAACATCACCTCTCTTAGATATCTTGATCTTTCCTGCAATCTCTTCAATTCTACAACACCTGATTGGCTATCTAGTTTTAGCCGCCTTGAATACCTTGATTTGTCCTCCAATCTTTTCAATTCTGCAATACCTGAGTGGCTATCTAATTTTAGCCTTCTTAAACACCTTGATCTGTCCTTCAATCTCTTCAATTCTACAATACCTGAGTGGCTTTCTAATTTCAGTCATCTTGAATATCTTGATCTGTCATGGAATTTCTTCACAGGGGGATTGCCAAGATCCTTTGAAAATCTTTGCAACTTGAAAGTACTCAAGTTGCAAATGTTGAACTGGCAACTTGGGTTGGCAAGTGTTGAACTTGGTGGTGATATATTGGAGATTTCAAAGATTCTGTCCAGTTGCATTTTAGATGAAATAGAAACTCTAGATTTAAGCTACAATAAACTTCGGGGCCATTTTCCTGAACTTGGAAGATCTAAAAAATTGGTCTCTCTTGATCTATCTCATAATTCTCTTTCTGGTGAACTTCCAGTGTCCTTGGGAAGATTACATTCTCTGAAGAATGTATATCTTTATAACAATAACTTGAGTGGACCTCTCCCTGAGAGTCTTGGCCAACTTGCACATCTAGAAAATTTTCATGTGTCACAAAATTCATTACAAGGTATCATCTCTGAAGTCCACTTCGCCAACCTCACACGATTGAGGTATCTCGATGGATCTGGGAATCAATTGTTCTTGAGTGTCAGTCCAAATTGGGTTCCTCCATTCCAACTTTGGGAATTGTCATTCAGGTCATGTCGGTTAGGTCCACAATTTCCCCATTGGCTTCACTCACAGAAAAATTTAGAGATTCTAGACATATCACATACTGGAATTTCGGATACCATTCCTAGGTGGTTTTGGAACTTATCATCTCATATTTTCTATTTAAATATCTCTCACAATCATATCCATGGAGAGATTGTAGATGAGTTTTTAGCCACATCTGTGCCATTCAGTGCAATTGACTTAAGTTCCAACCACTTTAATGGTACATTGCCCCGTATGTCATCAAATATATCGACACTGGATCTTTCGAACAATTCATTTTCTGGATCTATTCGTCAATTTCTATGCTACAAGATGGATGAATCTAAGAACCTGCAACTTCTTAATTTGGAAAGAAATCGTTTGTCAAGAGAATTGCCAAACTGTTGGACAAGCTGGAATAGCTTGGAGTTCATAAATTTAGTAAATAACAATCTAAGCGGCAAAATCCCAAGCTCCATGGGATCTCTAGATTTTCTCGAATCGTTGCATTTACGAAACAATAGCCTATCTGGGGAATTACCTTTGTCACTGCAAAATTGCACAAGGTTAGTGGCTATTGATTTTGGTGAAAATGAATTTTCAGGAAGTATACCCACATGGATAGGAGAAAGGCTTTCAAATCTCAAGATTCTTATCCTAAGATCAAATAAGTTTCAAAGCTATATTCCTAAGAAACTTTGTGCACTCAGTTCACTTCAAATCTTGGACCTTGCACATAATAATTTTTCGGGAAGTATACCAGCATGTTTGATGAATTTGAGCGCTATGGCCATACAACAAAACTCAAGTCAACAAATGTCATACCAGCCTAATTCTACTCGATACTATTTTGAAGGTTTTTTAGAGAATGCATTGTTGGTAATAAAAGGACAAATGACGGGATATAGCACAATTCTTCAACTGGTTACGAGCATGGATTTTTCAAATAACAATTTATCAGGAGAGATCCCTGAGGAATTGACGAGTCTCCGAGGGCTTCATTCATTAAATTTGTCTTATAATCTTTTGATAGGAAGAATTCCAAAGAATATTGGTGCTATGGAACAACTAGAAGCCATTGATTTCTCCATGAATCATCTTTTTGGTGAAATCCCTCCAAGCATGTCAAGTTTGACATTTCTAAGTCACTTGAACTTGTCCTACAACAATTTGAGTGGAAAAATACCATCAAGCACTCAACTTCAAAGTTTTGATGCATTCAGTTATGTTGGAAACAGTTTATGTGGACCTCCTGTTAATAACAACTGCGGTGTTAATGATACACCATCTGCTATTGAAAATGGAGCAGACAAAACAGGCCATAGATTTGCAGTGGACTGGTTCTATGTTAGTATGGCACTAGGATTTGTGGTGGGCTTTTGGGGTGTAGTTGGTCCATTTCTGTTTAACAAGTCATGGAGATTCGTATGTTTTCAGTTCATGGATAATATCTGGTATAGGTTTCATAGCGTTATATGTTCACGTGGATGATACAGCAACATAAATAAAAATTGTGATCTTTATTAATCTGTAATGCAATCTGTGATTTTCTGCATACATAGATGATTGAATTATGCTTTCATCATTCTCTTGCATCAATTTCCTATCTTCACTCTCTTTTTTCCAGATTTATAAAACCTGTATGTTCTCTCTTCCAAGTTAACTTGGAGGCCATAAAAGTTAGTACAAACAAGGGTGGGTTGGGGCCACATGGAGAAGGTGAAATGCAAAACACCCTATGATTCTTCCCCTTCATGATTAGGAGATTGGCTGACAATGAATGTCGGAAAGTTTGTGCATCAAATCTGAACCATGTATCTGCTTGTGGTTGGATAATTTTGCCATCAGGCGCAACCAGTAACCATAGCCGAAGCATATCCAGTCTTCGTGATAGCACATCCACTTGAAATTTTCGAGAAAAAAAAAAAAAAAAAAAAAAAAAAAAAAAAAAAAAAAAAAACCTACGTTTTTTCTGGAAAAGAAATCGTCTTTATTAACAGCATGTTGTTTCAATGAAGAATAAAATCATATAACCGTGTCAATTCTGGAGGCGAGGCATGCATGCATTATGATAGAAGTGATGGTGCTACAAGAAATTGATTAGGCAAGCAAAGTTCATGAAAAAACACAGAAGAATACATCATTGTTAATTATTATCACAAATAAAAAATAATAATAATAATAAAGAGAGAAAAACCCCATTTTTGTTGTCCTCTTAAAGTAATCAGAAGTCCAATAACAGAGTTAAGGAAAATTTCTACATTTGTGCAGTATGTTTTCTGTATTAAAGAAAAATCTCTGTAGCGAAGACAGCCTTAATTCCAGCCCAAGACAGTCCTAATGAAAACTCAGACAAAAATATTTCTAATATTAAATTAGATCCTTCATTCAATTCTATAAAGCATTTTCCCAACCATTTGTTAGAAAATCAGTTTAATTGCAAGGTCTTGACAATGGTAAATATACAGACCCCTGAGCCAGTAAAGGAGTTGACAAAAGGGATTGTGTGGGCACATTATCAAATGTTAGGACCGCCTGTCAACCATATGCACTATGTTATCAAATTCCAAATACATTTGTTTAGGCCAATTTTAGAATTCATGTAGGATTGAATTACAATTTTAATTCTTTGTTCAGATTAAGCAATCATTTGAAATTGAAATTAAAAATACAAAAATAATTATGTCCTTTTGTCCTTCAAGCTGGGATAAATTAAACACACACAAAAAAAAAATGGTCCAAAATCACAAATTCAATTATATTTGTGATTTTTTCATATTATCCTAATTACATTTTATATGTGGGAATCAAAGCATACAAAATCAGAAATTCAATTATATTTGTAATTTTTTCACAATATTTGTCTCATACTCTATTTTTTCAGCTATCCACGATTCAAAATTCATAAATAGTAGGTTTAAATTATTACCACCAATATCACTCCATTGTTGTTAAACTTATATTGTAATATAAAATCCGCTAGAGCTACCTTGTCCAAGCAAAAAAAATAAATAATCTATTAAAACTTCACACCCAAAGTCTAAAAAGTAGTTAGAATTATTTTATACACTTAGTTGAAATAATTTTCAGGATAAAAGTTCTTCATATGCGAACCTAATACTTAATAAGTTTTACTATTTTATGCTGTTGACCTATTATGATTTACAATTATGACTAATAGTTTAAAACTATGAATTTTAATATTTATCTAAAATTAGTAGTTATATCATGGTTAATAATTATTTAAGTAAACCATGAGGAATATAAAATAGATCACGCAATTCTAGGGCAAAACGAAAATCAATGACTAAATAAAAATAAAAAGTGTATGCAGTGCCATATATACAACCTATATATAAGATGTTAGGAGAAAAAGAACAAAGGAAGATTTAATCTTAATATTATTTTAACAAAGAGCCTGCTTTTTATATTCAAACAACGACTTCAAATTTAAAAATGAATATAATGTTGAATAAGTACGTTATCAAAGTATAAAGTTGACCAAATCTTGAAAAACCAAAAAAGCAAGTATAGACAATCTGTTCTTAAGGTATCTTATTATTTATTAATAAAAATGCAAACCATGAGGAATATAAAATAGATCACCCAATTCTAGGGCTAAACGAAAATCAATGACTAAATAAAAATAAAAAGTGTATGCAGTGCCATATATACAACCTATATATAAGATGATAGGAGAAAAAGAACAAAGGCAGATTTAATCTTAATATTATTTTGACAAAATACCTGCTTTTATATTCAAACGACTTCAAATTTTATTATTTTTTTTTAATGGACTTTTCATTAAGCAATACTGAAAAATAATTATGTGTGTGTGTATAAATATGATTTTAGTCCGCATACCTATATTTTTAGGTACTTTGAAGGAGAAATTACTAGATGGTTCTTAACCACTGACACTCGGAGGATCGATTAAATACAAATTTCGAAATTAACAAAAAAAAAAAAATCCACAAGAGTATATTAATATATTATAAAGTGTCATGATCAAAGGACTTTTATTAAATTACTTCACCAAATATTAAACAAACCAAAATCATCTAATAATTTCTCACTTTTGAAGACACTTCGGCATGTAAAGTAGTTCTAAAATTGACACAAGCATTCAAACTCATTTAAATATAATACGCACATGTATTCAATTGTGTGTGTGTACATGTATCCTAGTAACATCCAAACCAAAATGATATAAGCATTCAAACTCATTTTCATTCACATTTTTATTTTATGATTACATTTCTCGTTTAACATGAAAATTTATAAATTCGTATTTGGGCAAATTAAGAAACGGAGAGCTTCTAAGAGAATGCAGACACACAAATCCATCCAAATATAAAATAAAAGTATTCTTTCTCATATACAAATAGATCTACAACTCATGCTCAAACCGTAAATTTTCCAAAACAAAACGAAGGTTAATTACTTGCGAGAAAACCAAGATCACTGCATGCATAAGCATGTGGACGAAGATGTTAATAAAAAAGATATGTGTGTGTGTGTGTGTGTGTGTGTGAACGTACAGCTCATAAACGTAGATATGCAGGGAGATACTGAATTCACACACGACAAATTAACTCTGCTGAATAAACAATAAACATCCATAGTAGGCTAGTAGCCATTTTGCCTATAACTATAACTTTCATCATTACATTTTCCGGTGAAAATGATTCCACACCATTACACTATACCAACTGCAAAAGCTCTACATTATGCTTTCCAAACGATTTCATGACCCTAGTGTGTTCTGCAATCTGATCAATTCATCCACACCCAGTGCTCAAATGATTCTGAATCACTTTCCGACAATCTTTTCTTATCAAATCCAACTTACAATAGCCATTAAATACAGACTACCCGTTTATACTATTAATATCACAAATTTATTTGTTTAATAAAATAACAAGGCGCGCTTAACAGCTGATGAGTAAAAAATATGAGATTCTAATCAGACACAATCAAAATCACAGCTAGAGAAGAGTACCACAATAGAAAACTAACACATGCAAACAGCATGGGAGTCATAATTCTATAAATGCATGCCTTCCTGTAGAATTGAATTACAATTTTAATTCTTTGTTCAGATTAAGCAATCATTTGAAATTGAAATTAAAAATACTAAAAGTTGGGAAGAAGCAACATTACATTATAATATAGTCAACGGAAAAAAGAGAATGGCAGAGCATACAGAAAGATCAGATGACACAGAATTCCTCAGTATAGAGCTGGCACAGATGGAAAGGAACAGCAGATCGTCCTTTGGTCACCTGCAGGCATCAAGTTTGAGGAGTAATAATAGTAATATTACTTCAGATGAAATGCCATTTAGAGAAAATGACAACGAAATAGAGTTGCAGTGGGCTGCAATTGAAAGATTACCCACGTACAAACGACTTAGAACATCATTATTTGGCAAGGAAGGGGAGATCAGTAAGGCAGCGATTGACGTCACCAACCTTGGAGCTCTAGAACGGCATGTATTCATTGAGAAGCTCTTGAAGAAAATTGAGCAAGATAATCACCAATAGTTACGAAAAATGAGAGAGAGAATTGACAGGTAAACATAAATCATTTAATTTTGTCCATCCTTTAATTTCTACCCTTAAATATATTGTTCATTCATAGTCATACTCGTAGTCATAGTTATAGTCATTCATGCATATTGCATAGAAAGAAAAAAAATAAAAAATTTAATTGTGAACCTATCTTTTACCTGAACTTGTGATTGTTACCTTCAATTTTTTTGTTTTTTTTGTTTTAATAACTAGACTAAAGGGTCATTAATTGGTAAAATGCTAAAGCCTCAAATTGAAAAGTGCAAGAACGCGAATTCAAGTCTTGAGAGCAGCCGCTTTGTGCATAGGAAAATTAAATTATTTCTGGGCCGAATTCAGACGAAGCAGTAGGACTCTTGTGCATAATAATGAAAAAATTAGTCACACTCCAACACCCATTATAGAAAGGACATAAACCAGTGTATGCCTTTGTTATTTAATGCCTAGATTAGAAGGCAGGACTCTATCACAAGTCTCGAGTAAAAGAAATATGTACTTGCTATGAGCGCAGATAACCTAGCTTTTTATATGCACAAATCATACAATATATATGTTCATGCATGTAGTTATTATGTATTTATATGCATGCATATAATAGAATGAATTTGTCCTTCGCTCTTCAGAGTTGGACTGGAATTGCCTACTGTGGAAGTGAGATACCAGAATTTGTTTATAGAAGTGGCAGACTGTGAAGTAGTTCATGGGAAGCCCTTCCCAACACTATCGAACACCCTAAAAAGCATTGTCAGTGTAAGTGGCTTTCTTTCGCTTTTTTCTAATCTTTTTTAAACAGAATACTCTGTTTCACAATAATCATTATGAATGGGGTAAGAAACATGAACTTCATTTTCCATTCTCTATTGCAAGTAAACACTCATATCACTTATACAAAAATTCTCAATACAACTGTATAAATTAATTATTCTTCCCAGTTAATGTTCCTAGATGTTGCTATTCTAAC